GTCCTGCCTGGATGTTATATCCTAAGAAAACGCCTCTCTTGGCATTGGGGGCAAACTTTCCTCTCTTTGGTTCGTACTTACCTTCCCAAAAGAACAGAAGACATCCAAAAGGAAGTTGCCTACCAAGAAATCCGTTTTCAAAGCGAAGTGCCCATGGTGGATCACCACCATTCAATTGTTTTACAATGTTTATGGCCATCGCATGATGTTTGGAGGCATAAGGCCACAAAGAAAGAGGCATGTTGGCCTGGAGGAGGTTGGAGCGCGCCCCTTCCAAAATGGTGCGGACTTCACGCTCAACAACCGCTTTGGTGGAATGTTGATATTCAACAGAAGTCTGGTGCTTGAAACCAAGTTCTTCTATGGCATCCAGCATTTCTGGAGCGTTGTCGGTATACACTATGCCAACAATATCAGAAGTCTTCAGAAAATGTTTAAAAGCTTTCACAATGGAATCGGCTGTTTTGTTTTCTGAAGGATAAACACATCTGTATTGAGTATAAACATCTTTGATCACCAACATTGACGTTTGGCCTTCTATCCCTTCTTCAATATCCTTGGGAATAACATGGTCGCACACTATGTGGTCGCCAAACCCACGCGCCAAAACATGTTGTGATCCGCCTACGCTTCTACCGTAGGGAGCAAGCATTTTAGCTTCGCTACAAACATCGCAGTAGGGATTCTTTGGTCGATGTGTGAATTGATGCGCCCCTGATTTTGCTTCCTTTCGAAGTTGCTCTTCGGTCTTCTCCCCTGCTACGGGAACGTCTTCAAAATCAAAAGGAACCTCAACTTCTGGGTCACTGTCCTCTTCGTCCTCCTGTCCATCATCGGCATTGGCATCTACGCCAGCTTCGTCAGCCTCCTCTTGGTCTTCCTCGGGTTCGGACTCATGGCTGGCCATGGCGTAGCCCTGGTCGATGGTGAACTGGTGGATGGAATCGAGTACCTTAGTAAGGCGAGTCCTCAGTGATTCAGGAATTGAGAATGGGGTACATGTTTCATCAATATATGGAACCCTACCTTGCAATTTGAATTTAACGCATTGTCCATCAGGTCGAAGAAATATGGGAGTAGTGTCCTTTCCCCAAACAAAATCATATCCCTGTTCTAAGCACCTCAAACCAATTGAAAGTGCAGAGGGAGTACTTTGGAGAATGTAGGGGTTGAAGGATTCACATAACCCTGGCAAGATCACCTCTACTACTTCGTCAGCAGTGATAGGTCCATTGGCAGTAGTAAGGGAGATTGGTTCGTTGGATTTGAATATCTTGGTGGCCCTGTTGACTGTCTTAGAGTCCTTACCTACGATGTCCTGGTCAGTGCCAGTGTCACCCAGCCACTTCTCCATACCAACCATGTTTGGCATCGCTGTTAAGCGAGCACATGACGGCACCTGTTCTCCGACGACTGTTCTGCACTTCGTGCAGCACAAATCATCGGGGCCTTCTGGGGAATGTTCACAAAGGAAATCACACGCAGGCTCCTCGGTATCCATCGAAACGAGCATCTGCCTAAGTGACTCCGCTGCCAAAATGGCGTCCTTAGTGTCACACTCGCGGGACTTTGGGCATTCCTCAGTGGTCCGGAACAGGTTCCGCTTCTTGCTCTTATTCACTACATGCCGGTACATTTCCTTCCAAACAGGAAAGGTGTGTACCTCCGGTTCTAATTCAAAACGAATTCTCTTCTCTTGCACAACACGGAAAATTGACTTTCCAGTCCAATCAAATTTCTGTTTCGCGTTTGGGTGTTTCTTCCAATTACCCTTGATTGTCCTACTCTTTCCCTTTGAGTCAGTGACTACCATGGTAAACTGGTCTTCCAACCTAGATGACTCAACTGGACAGGATTTACATGTTGGGAGAAACGACCTGTGCCTAGGCTTCAAATGGTGCCTAATCAACTCATTGCCATCTTTGGAGAATTCCCAGTAGTCTTTACTCTTTTGGGTCCGAGTTGCGGTTGCTGCTAAGCAAGACATTGCGAAACCTGTTTGAATACATGGACTGGCCTTTGGACTTTTGTCCTTCTTTTCCCGTTTGCTCTTTTTGTCCTTTTTGTCCTTCTTGGATTTCTTGTCCTTAGACCTTTTAGCTGCGGGCGAGGGACTCCTTCTGCGCGGGGCTGGTGTTGCAGTGTCTCCGTGTTTAAACGGGCATTTGTCACCCCTTTTGCAGTTACCCTTTGCAAAGAACCTGCGTGGCTTGTCAGATTTCCTCCCTCTACTGGAGCTTCTTGATGAGTTCCTTGAACTGGAGCGGGAAGTGTGTCTTGACGAACTTCGAGATCGGCTTGACCTGAACGATAAACGGCTGCTCGGACTTGCGCTACGCGAACGAGACGACTCCCGACTAAGGGAGCGGGGACGGGCGCTAGAGTCGTGTGAGTACTTGCATTTGCTCCCGTACTTACACTTACCAGTTTTGGCATACTCATAGCATTGATTGCTTCCGTCACCCTTTGTGCTTCGTTTGCCATAACTTGGGCTTCGCGTGCGCTTGTCGTGCGGTGCCGGGTTTGCGAACTTTGCCGCGTGTGATTGTGATATCTTTTCGCGATTGGTCCTGAGCCTTTCCCTGTCAAGGTAACGTCGAACAGAATTGATAAGAAATTCATAGCTTCTGTCGTTACTTCCCTCCGGCGCTCGTTCATAAACATCAAGGTCAAATCTGAGCTTGCGGGACTTCCTAACCTCTCTATAAAACAAATCCTTGAGAGTTGCCGGGTCTGGGACATGACTCATTCCGGTCAGAACACTCTCCCATTTTCTTAGAAAGGATTTCAAGTCGTCGCTATCAAGCGAGATCTTGAGGAGGTCCTCAGTGCCATACAGTGCACCCGCTTCTTCACTGGTCTTGAAGTGGACTTCAAACATGAGCAACACCTGACGACCACGGACGATCCTACCTTGCTGTGCCTCAGATTCCTTATAATTAAGGATCTGCTGAGACAGTTCACCTTTGGCAACCTTAGTTAAAGCAGCAAGTAGTTTCGTGTCTAAGGTCCGAAACTTGCCTGGGTCAGCCAATTCGGAACAAAGCTTGGCTTTGTCTTCACGAACAGCGTACACCTCAAGCACCCATGCGAACGCAGCGTCTGGGTCATCGGACGCGGACCGTATCGCTTCGCGAACAGCGGCCCTCCAAGTGCGGTACCTATCAGGACTTGGGAATTCGGGAAGATCTATCTTATCAGCCTCCTTTGCCTTGGGTTTGTCAGAGTCTTTGCTCTTAGCGCCCTTAAACCCTTCTAGCAAGGCCTTCTTGATGATTTCCCCCAAATCTTGGTCTTGTGGAGTTCTTACCTGAGAAGCCGGCCCTTCGTCCTTGCGATCATCCTTAGTCTTTGTTGCTTCCTGATTAAAGGAGCTTTTGTACAAAGGATCATCACTGAAGTTATATTGTGCTGACTTCTTCATGTACTGCGTCCACGGATCCGGTTGTTTGAATTGTTGCCTGTCCGTAGAGGCCGTTGCCTGTTCCGCTGCGGGCGCCCCTGTCCCTGAGAACATTGATGGGAATCCAGTGTTGCGCGTGGACGCTGTTGCATCCATAGCCGTCTTTATAGGGGATCCGCCTTCCTCACGGGGCTTACCGTCTAAGGTTGCTGGAACAGTGCCTTCCGTGCGTAGAGGTTCAAAAGATCGCGGTTGACCAATTGGGTGAGCGTCTTGTCGAGCAGAAGGTGTAAGTGGCTCAGGATATTGCGGCCCTGGCTTAACGGGGCTAGAGGATTGCGCCTTGCGCTCCGCTTCCTTGCGTTCCTCTTCCCTGTTTGTCAAGGACTGTACAACACGTCTGAGCTCGTCCATTTCACCCTTCAACATTGCATTGTCCTCGCGAAGCTCAACTATAGTTTGCTCTTGCGTTTCCCGATCAACCTTATATTGCTTATTTGTTGTCTCCATCTCATTGACAAGAGTTTTGATCTTTGCCTGTGCAATTGCTAACGAACTGTCCAGTTGTTCTCGCTTGAAGTCAAGCTCTATGGCGATCCGGGATTCTTCAGCAGACGAATGTCTTGCCTGATCCTTTGCCTCTAGAGCTGCCTTCAGCTTAGCCTCCTGTTGCTCAACATACTGGTGATGTTCAGTTCTCATTTTGTCAACAAAAGCATTGCCTTCTTCCGCCATGGCATTCTTTTCCTGTACAACTTTCTCATGAGCTGCTGTCGCCTGAGCTAGCCGCTGCTGAAAATGTTCCCTTTGCTCCTCCAATGTACCTTGCAACCGTTTGATTGCAACATTGTCTTGCTGTTGGACCATTTGCTGAACACTTTGTTCCTGCTGTTGGGCCCTTTGTTGAACATTCAACATTGCCTGCTCTGCGGCAGCCTTTGTTGCCGCTATAGATTCGGAAGCTTCTCTTTCGTAAATACTCCTGAAGCGCAATGCCTCGATTTCAGCTTCCCTCCTGGCTTGTTCGCTGAGCAAAAACTCATGTTGTTGTAACTCCCGTCGTAGTTCTTCGTCGTTTGGCGTTGCATTCAGGTTGACGACGTTGAGCCGAGTCATTGCCAACAAGTTGTTTACTGTTGGCGCACCAGCTACGGTGGCTGACGGCATACCTGCTAGGGTAGCTTGTGTCGCCTCTTGAAGAGTAACACTACCACCACTATTTAGCATCTCTTGGTACACCTCCGAAGCAACCCTTGGATCCATTGCAGCCACTTGTGCAACCGCTTGTTCATGCCGTTGAACTGCATCCAAACTATTGGGCACACTCGGAACTATGTCAAAGCCACTTCCGTAGGAGTTTGGTGGGACGTCGTCATCCATCGGGTCCATAGCTCTAATCTAGCTAGCTTACGGCTGATAACCTGTATTTTACAGGATCAGCTCTAATAGTACTAACTACCTAGCTAACCCTGCTAGTCCGGTAAGCGCTACCTTTTGCTCTACCTTGAGAGTCAACGCTACGGGGTCCATGGGGATGAGGTGAATTTCAACAGATGTTTAGGTGTTGGGAATGCTTTTGGAGCTGAGTTCCATCGGCCTTTTCCCAGGTCCACCGCCCACACCGCCGCGAAGTATCCCGAAACCACGACCGCCCGCCCTGACACCAGCCGTCCCCTACCCCGCCGGATCGGCCCTGGGGCTCGAGCATTTGAAGCCCAAGACCGCGAAGGACCACGCCACATTGGCCAAGCCCTGACCATCAAAGTCTCCAATCTGGCGATGTGGCGCCGGCCGAGGTACAGTGCTGGTGCTGATGCTCCACGGAAGTGCGCGATGTTGTGCCGGGTCACCTATGTACAAGTATGTCAGGTCTGCGGTGCCGATGTGCTACGTACTGAGTCGGGTGTTCTTCTCACGCACCGAAAGGCAATGGCCAGGCCCACCGAAAAAAGGTCCATGGTCCATATCCACAGAATCTGGGTCATAGATGGTGCAGTCACAGATCGCTTGGTGGCAGCACCGGAGCAATGAGCCAAACAGATCGAGGATGGTCCAGGTGGGAAGGTTCGGGTTACTTCTGCTCCGTGAGGAGCAACACCAACGAGACAATGAGATCCAAGCTTTGGCTGCTACTGCTAGACAGCTAAACTGGCTCGCAGGTTAAGGCGACAGGACTCATGCTCACTCGGAAAGTGGTGGCCTTCCGCACGATGGCATGTGCCAGCCTGGGGCCAGCGCCCATGTTCGCTGCCGGATGGTGGAGGGAGGGTGGCTGTGAGCATCGGTGAGCTTGAAAGGCCCCACTTTCATCTAGTAGCTTCTTGTCACTAGTAGTAACACGAAGCTACTATAGCAGCGATGCACCTTGTTCCGTCTTCTTCCTAGTAGCGATGCACCTTGCTACTAGTAGCTTCTTGTTACTACCAGAAAGCAGAACTTCACATTGCAAAGCCATGACATGAGACTCCAATCTCCCGCGGAGTCTAAACTCAGTGCCGGACGTCTGCATGAGTCGATCATTCCAAAGTCCAAGCCTCTGGCTCACAACTCCGAGTAAAGCGGAAGCAAATCCTCCAGTCAATACGGCGAATGTCATGAGTTCACTTCTAGTTCTTTGATTCTTGCCCTTGGATGTGCCAATTAGAGCTGATTGTTCAAGTTAAGCGAGCCTGTAGTATGATTCTTGTGGCCCCAGTGTGTTTGGTCTCACCCCGTGCTGTGGTGAACAAACAGGCGGTGTTGACGGACACTGCTTCGCGGTGAAGCTTGCCTTGGTGCTCCCAAAAGGAGCGCTTGCTACTGCTAAAGCCGACGCGGCGTCTTGTTTTGCGGGCCTTACGCTACGGCGTAAGAAGTGAAAAGAGTTGCCAGAACATGCCGGGGCTGACCTTGATGGCCATTGATGACTTTGAGTTTGGCTTTGACCTTCTCTTCGCCAATCAGGGAATGCAAAAGAGGTTCGGCATGCAACCATTGCAGCCGCCGGTAGAAGCTGGAAGCAGCTAGCAGAACAGAACAGGCCCACGGCGAGATTGAAACAGTGCCTGGGCGGCTAGGCTTAGTCGCATACGAAGCCTGCACTTGACGTGTGCCATTCCACGTCTGTTTACGGATTGAGGCGGTTGACTGAATTGGACCAAGGGCCGGCGGCCTTCTTACGCCGTGTACTGCGTGCCCACATGCGCAGGTTCACGGTGGCCGCGCTTTGATTGCCCCAGGAGGGCCACCTCCTACCTCCATTGCATCTCCCTCTCTCTCTCTCTCTCTCTTGCTCTTGCGTGTTCTCTTGGCATGAGGACTGCTGCCATTCCGGTAAGCGTCCCACTTTGCATAAGCCCAGGCAGTGTTGGACAAATTCTGAGTGGTGAAGTCATTGACTTTCGACACCACCTGCGGCCCAGAATTGCTGATTGGCTTTCCCAACGCGCTCCGGATGCTACCAAATGGCGCCAGAAACCTGAACCAACCAACGATGTAATTATATCATTTTCATGGCCAAGACCTCCTCCACTAGAACTGGAGGCACGCTGATGCAAGTTGTGGGTTGTGATCTCATGTGACTGCGTTACCGAGCCGAGCACCCCTTCACCAGCCGCAGCAGAGCTGAGCCTCGGCCAGAATCTGATCCATCAAATGGCCTCGGCCGGTCCCGGTCCAATGTGGCCCGGGACATGCGGTCCTTCGGGCGGCAAGAACATCGGCGTGACATGCGGCCCAGGTGGCTGTCCGGTAAGCCCAGGGTTGCATAGGCCCAGGCCTCGAAAGACGGCTTTTGCCGCAGGCGGCGAAAAACCAAAGGAATGATCCTATTAATGATCTTGTCCTAGTGGCAGTAGTAGCATCGGACCATTCCAAAGGTATCATGTCACTAGTTCCACAGGAATGATCCTATGATGGTCTTTTGTTACTAGTGGCTTCTTGTTACTAGTAGCGATGGCCCCAAATGAGTTGCGACGGCCTCCACCTAAAGAAACGCGTCTTCTTCTCTTTCTTGAGGAGTCAAGTTCAGATAGGTCTCCTCAAACATATCCTCTCGTAGCACCAAAAAAAACGCTCGCCGGGGACCAGGCCGTGTTGGCCAGATCCTGGGGGATCAAATCCTGACGGCCCCCCCATGCACTCTCTCTCTCTCTCTCGTTGAGACAGGGTACAGTAATCTGGACTGCCTAATGTAGACTCTTGATTAATCCAAATGGGATGGTTTATAAGTCTATTTACCTGTTTTATCCATCGTTATCCTGCGCGGTTTGCCTGTCGGTCTGACCTCCGAGGCACAAAGTTCTCGTTCACCGTTCTGGCAGGATTCTCCCCCAACAGGATTCTCCCGCACTCGATGATTCTCCTTCACCATCGATACAAGCTTCTTGGCAATGACCGTCATCATCATGGCCTCGGCTGGACTGGGACCCCAGCACTGATCCACTGCCGCGTGGCGTTCAGCGACAAGGGTAAAAAGAAAAAACGGCATGGCATCGTTCGATGATTGAGCACCATGGCATTGGAGATCGCTAACTTGGCAAAGGCCTCGGGAGGAATCAAGAATTCTCTTTTGCCAAGCCAATGTGTGATGTATGGCGTGCTGAACCCCGAACCTAGGTAAGCCCCAGCATTGAACTTGAGGCTCCGTCCCAGGATGTGTTAGACAAATCTTGATTGCTGAACTGCTCGATCTTTGCCATGACCTGGCTAAAAATTTGGCCACTGTCTCGTCCGGAGTGCGAGTGGTTTACAGTCTATATAACTGGATCAAGTTAAGTATACAAGGTCTCAGGAGTCATTGGGAATTCAACAAGACTCGAGTGATGCATGTGGTTCTGCCTCCAGCTTTATGCGTTTGATGAATCGATGGTTCTGCCCACTTTTCTCTAGTGTTGTAGGAGCAGGATCTGTACTGCATAGAGCTTTGCCCAGGAAAAGGTGATGGCGGCTGCATCACACCAAAATTGAATATGATCCCAATGCTATCCACAGGGTGCATATCCCCAAAATCAATGCCTGTCCTGATTGCATTCACAGTGGTACACTCCACAGCTGCATGGCAGCCATCAAACATAACAATATATAATGATGATGGAAGAGCGTTGGGAAGGCCACTATGGCTAGCAAGATGGGAAAGTCTAGGAAACATATCCAGCAGCAGCGTTGCTACATTTTGCAGAACCGCTTCACTTCAGATGACGTTTGCCATCTCAGATCAGCTCCAGCCTGGCCAGGTGGTTCGCACCATCCCCATCTATACAACGTGAGGGGAATCCTTTGGTCAAATCCTTTGGTCACTTTAGTCTTGCAAGGACGGAAAAACGTGCATCAACGAATCGACACTCGACCAGACTCGAACACTTCCCCTCCTCAGCCTCGGATACTTTTCAAAGCTTTGGCAGCAGCCTTGCACTGCTTGTACTACACGGAACACACGGAACAGGGAACAGGTCAGTCATGCGTGTCATGTCACAAAAGCTGGCCTAAAATGTGGCCAAAAACGTGCTAAACAAAGGCCTCTCACATCGGTGCTAAGAGTTCAGCGTGAGTCCGACCATCTGTGAGTCCCGTTGAGTCGCCTCTGTTTCAGAGAGGCCTTCTGCAAGGAATTGTTGGTACGCGCTCAAGAACAGCCGTTTGGCATCATCCTTGCAGCAGTCCCAGCAGTGCCAGCCAGTCCCCAACTCCCCTCCATTGGCATCCTTTGTTCCTAGTAGCGAGCATTGCTAGTAGTAAGGTCAGGAGCCCCCTAGTAGCGTCTTTTGCTCCTAACTAAAATTCCAGTGTATTCTAACTTGAATTACTGTAGCTTGATGGGTCTCGGTGCCTTGTCACTCGGCTGTTCTGACTTTGGTCTGGGCGGTGGTGTGTAGACTGATTCTTGAACTTGGACAGCTTGTGTCTCTTTTGCCTCAGTCCAATGGCTGCTGGTCATTCAAATCCATGACGCATCACATGGCAAATGACTGAAAAGAAAAACAGGTGCAGTTGATGAACCAGCTGCCTTCCAAGCCACAGCTGCCTTTCCCTGAGGCTTTTTGCTTTTGTTTTTTTCTCCCTTCGCCTGGTCTCTAGGATTTCTGAAGGCTCCGTCTCTCCGTCTTTCACCGGGGTGAGGCTCCCCATTCGTCGATCAACGCTTTTTCACAAGCATCCGAGGACATGAGTGTTGCCGACCGACCGGGCCGGGCCTGCTGCCAAGCTCTGCCGGTATAAAAACACATATAAAGCACATTTAGAGCAAATCATAGCTGCATGAAGTGTCTCACACGTGTCTCACGTCTCTCTCAACCCCCGGCCTTAGGCTGATCATGACTTTTCAAGGCCACAGCACCCCAAAGATCCTCTTCTTGGATGTCCTTTTCACAAGCAAGAAGCAAATGCAAAGAATTCCAGCTTCAGGATGCCGTTCTCATCATGTTCAATCATGGCATTTTCTCAGCCCTTCCCCCGTGTTCAGGCGCCGTTCGACGCCCGGACGAGTCGTCCTCGAAGAAGACGCCTTGCGGGACACGTTCGCCGCATGGAGGTGGTGCTGCACCCAGGTCTGTCATGGGCTTCCTATGACGGTCACGGTCGAAGCGGATCGGAAGAGACGTGAGACGCGAGACGCGTCGTCGCGTCCGACCGTGCTGGCGAGCTTTGTCGTCGCGTTCGACCGTAGCTCTGGGAGTGGCAAAACGGGCAGGGCAAGACATAAAGCCCTCTAGCTTAGCGGCAATTTCATGATATCATTGAGTCTGCCGGGATCAAGTAGCAGTGTCGGCTGACTTTTTCATCACGGGACTCTGGAGTATTGGAACACTGACGCTAGCTCATACTAGCTCAGAACCCATGACAATCAATTGAGGGCGACCACCTCTTTGAAGGCAAAGCATCTGCATTCTCTGTCTTGTGCATGACACCATCCCCCCTTTGAGCTCATCCGGTCATCGAGGGAGCTCAGTGCTGGCTGGTGGCATCAGGCTTTCAGCTCGGCTGAGGTTCTGCGCTTGGTCCTGGCAATGTGATGCTTTCATCATCTGAAATGGTGGCAAGCAACATCTGACAACCTGCTCCTGCAGTGAATGTAAAAAAACACGTCATAGTCAGACTGAGTCGCTTGATTGTCACCTGTGGGGCTTGCAAGCCAAAAAACAGAACGAATCACTAACTTTTGTTGGCTTCTCATGGTTTCGACTTGAATCTTCTGCAGTCATGTGGTATCCAAAAGCCTTTTTTCCCCCTTGTTTTCCCTTGTCCAGCTGCACACCACACGCGACAAGGCCATCTCCTCTTCCGCCGCTGCGAACTCCGCACGAGAGATCTCCAAGAGGCGCAACAAGAACTCACTGCGATGCATCTCCTGCGAGGCCGCTACATCTGCTTCGGTCCAAGCCGCTGCCTTCGGTCCACATCATCGAAAGGTGATTCATGCAGACTCTTGAGGATATAATCCGCCCCAATGTGAATGGAACTATATACCATGATATGCCTCTTATATATACTGTATTACCTCTTAGATATGCGGAATTCATTAACCAAGAGTCTACGATTCTGATGCTTGACCGAGAAAAAATCGCCCCCAAGCTGGTCTCACCACACCACCCCGCGTTGTCACCCACCCACCGTCCAGCGCCACTTGGGGCTTATACTGCATCATGGGCGAATGATCGGCTCCGCCCAAGTCCCAAAGCTCAAAGCCAGCACGCCGCAAGCATTCCTCGCGCTCGGTTCGCGGTCCGCGGTCAGTCGCCGCACGGGCGTGAGAGCGACGTCCGACGTCGACCGCGAAGGGGGGGGGGAAGGAAAGGAAAGAAGAAGCCGATGGCAGGGGGACGAAGCTGTTCTTTTACCCTCACTTGAGCGGGGTGAGCTATGAAGGTCATGGAGGCCGTTCTGAATTTATGCCAGCATGCCAAGCCACCGCCTCAGCATAAGCGAGCAAAAAACCAGGCTGCAAGGTACGATGGGTTCCTCGAATTCAACGGTGCAACCGGATGCCATTCATCAAAATCGTCTGCAGCCTGTAAATGAAACGAACCTCCAAGCACAGTCTGCGACTGCCAAGGGCATCAACTGCCTGCGGTGCAATCACACAAAGATGCCTCCCACAGCACTGCACGCGCTCATCATCATCATCATCATCTTCTTCTTCTTCTTCTTCTTCTCCTGCTTCTTCTTCTTCTTCTTCTTCTCTTCATGGTCGGCGCTAAAGACTTTCCCTCCCTTGCCTCCAACCTACAAGCGATGGCCATTGCTAGTAGGTTTGCAGGCCACCGCTAGTAGGTCGGAGGCTATCTATCGCTAGTAGGTTTGAAGCCATTCGCTAGTAGGTTGGAGGCTATCGCTAGTAGGTTTGAGGCCATCGCTAGTAGGTCGGAGGCTATCGCTAGTAGGTTTGAGGCCATTCGCTAGTAGGTTGGAGGCTATCGCTAGTAGGTTTGAGGCCATCGCTAGTAGGTTGGAGGCTATCGCTAGTAGGTTTGCAGGCCATCGCTAGTAAGTTGGAGGCTATCGCTAGTAGGTTTGAGGCCATTCGCTAGTAGGTTTGAGGCTATTACTAGCGAATGGCTTCAAACCTACTAGCGATAGCCTCCAACCTACCAGCCGCTGGCCTGCAAACCTACTAGCAATGGCCTCCAACGTACTAGCGATGGCCTCAAACCTACTAGCGATAGCCTCCAACCTACTAGCGATGGCCTCAAACCTACTAGCGAATGGTCTCAAACCTAATGTTGACATAGGATTAAGTAACCACCCCTTATTAATCAATCCCAGCTCGACCCCTCCAATACTAAACTAATTGAACACCTAGATTTCCACCTTGGCATCACCCTAATAATTTCTTCCTGTGCAGAAACCTCCCCCCATTAATCAATCCCAGCTGCCCCCCCCAAAAATAAATAGTGTTTACTATGTATTTATTTGTATGTCTTTTATATTACATTCTTTTAGCTAGTCTATATCTTTATATGTGTTGTTTTATTTTTCTTTTTTCTAGTATTCAATATCTTCATCTCCTCATCTTCCTGATTCTCACCACCACCTCTCAACTGCCTCATCCTGCTCACCAATCCTTTTGATGGCTTCTCCTCACGTCTCATGCTACCAACTATCCCCCAAAACCCCGAAAACTCTCTAGCAAAAGTCTTTCATTTTCTCTTATTAAACATCTGTCAAAATCTTAACTTTTTCAAGCTCACAAAGGGTACCCCTCACAGAGGCCCTACCCCAATAGTAGCACCACCTCCCCCTATTAATCAATCCCAGCTGCCCCAGAAAAAAATATAGTGTACTTTGTATTTAATGTGTATAATTCTTTATTGTGTTCTTTTTTGCTAGTATTCAATATCTTCATCTCCTCATCTTCCTGGTTCTCACAACCCATTCCATCTTCCCTTGGAAAAACAACCCATGGATCAATCTAATTCCCTTTCATCTCAAATCTTCCAAATACTAATTCCCTTTCATCCCAACTCTTCCAAATACTAATTCCCTTTCATCTC